TCTCCCGCCTCCTCCCGGGAGAAGAGCTTGGGTTTGCTCCTGGTTGTGTGTGATCCAAGTTCCTTTGAGCTTGCAGACCCAGCATCTAGGGTTGCTGTTGCAACATTTCACAGAATCAGAGGATATCCAGAGTTGGAAGGGACCCGCACGGATCATGGAGATATCCCCTGTCCCCACACAGCACCAGCCAAACCCAAACCCTACGACTGAGAGCAGCATCCCAATGCTCCCTGAGCTCTGGCAGCTCAGGCTGTACCCACTGCCCTGGGAGCCCTGTGCCATGCCCACCACCCTCTGATGATGAAGATAACATTTGCAGCCTATGGAAATGTACAGAATGATCCAAATAGAAAGTAAATACAAAATCTTCAGCCAAATTTCCCCAACTCCATTTCTGTGAGTTTACCAGTCTTAGAGAAACGAGGCACGCAGCCTATTTCTGGCTCTGTTCCCACGGTTTTGGACAGGCTGTGGATGTTTCTTTCAGGCCATTAAGCAATGCCAGGGGCTGTATTCTTCCTCTTAGGCCTACTGGCACTAGCTGGCCATTCCCAGCCCATGAAAAATCACCAGTCAAATCATTACTCTGGTCCTCAGCTGCTGTGGCCTCTTTCCCATTCTACATCCGAAATCATAGAATAGTTAGGGTTGGAAAGGATCTCTGAAATCATCAAGTCCAACCACCCATACTGCCCGCTGACCACATCCCCTCAGTGCCACATCCCCATGGCTTTTGAACACCTCCAGGGACAGTGAGTCCACCACCTCCCTGAGCAGCCTGTGTCAGTGCTTTCAGACAAGATGTTTTTCCTAATATCCAACCTGAACCAAATAACTTCTTGCGAGAGACTGTTCCTAAGTTCTCCCATGACAATAGATGCTGTAACTGCAGCAATGATCAACATGAAAGCCTGAGGAGCAAGCACTGGCTGTGGTTGGCTTCACACATGGCCTGCTGGTGGTCAGGACCTGATGAAGGCTGCTGGGATGCTTTGCACCAACACTGGCCAAGCTGGAAATTGCTTGGAAATTGCGTTTGTAATCATTTTGGGGTATTTCTGACTTCATGCATCTCAGACAAGGAGGAAGAGCATTGCTAACACCTGCATCCAAGTTAGATCTGCTTTGATGACCCAGGATGTCTCCCTGTTTACTAAAAGATAGAATTACCATTATCTGCTGTACATTTTGGCATGCTGAAAGCAAGCACCAGCAAGTTGGGTGCATGTAGCAGGCCTGATTCCCACTCCCAGCATCCTGAGTGATGTTCCTCCCTGCCTAAAAGTGATCACCACTGCCACAGGAATGCAGACAATGAAGAAATGAAGGCAAGAAAGGAATGATGATGTGCTAGCATTGTTACTGCCTTGGCCAAGGATGAGCAGCTGGCAAGAAAGTTCCCCACACTGTTTTCTTGGGAAGAGTTTCCTTTTGATTCAGCAGGAATGCCATGAGCTGTTTACTCCTTCATGCAAATAAGGACACCCTAATTTGGAGAACACAGGGGCTAATGACACAAGACTGCTGATGAGAGAAAGTGAAGTCCATTCGGGGACAACACTTAGTTGAGGTGGCAGTATGTAGATACAGAAGGTGAAGTATCATTTTCACACTGCCCCATCCCTGACTGGGTTCAGTCTGCTATCTGAGATGTGGCAGATTGTATCTCTCTTCTCTTGCTCAATTCCACAGCACAGCACAAGGCATTTCACAATGCAGTAGTAGCTACTCCATACCCTCATTCCAGTCCTGTTCTTGTACCATTTAAGGAGGGAGAGTTTCACTCATCTGTACAGAGGCTACAGGACCAAGGCTCTACTGCAGTCCAAAACAAAGGCTTTCACAGGAATTTGCTGCTGTACTGGAATAGCAGCTTGTTCAATAGTTAATAGGCCTTCATAAGACTCTTGTTATCTCTATGGACAATGGAGGAGGAATGGGAGGAAACATCATGGGATACAGATGTTTTGCAAGTTGGTTCCCAATGTATTGGCCATGCAAAGGTGTGAGAGTTGGAGCTACAAAATCTCAGAAGCCCATAAGCTTTCTTACATATTGAAGACATTTTCTGAAGAAATTGGAAAAGTCTTTGGGAACAGAAACTGTCACCTTCATAGGATCGTGTCTCAACTGTTGGTTCAGATTGTCTAGGCCAGAAGAAGAGGTGATGAAAACTTACGTAGGAATCTTTGGTCCTACAAGCCAAAGATGGCTTATGGGGCACCTACAAGCCTGGAGACCAGAGCTTTCAGCACAACCTCACATGAACAGACTGCTAAGGAACTCAAGTACGACTCCTGTTGTGATGGGGCTGATATGGGAAAATGCAGTTCCAGTGTTTGACCGTATCTTCACTTATAAACATGGATTTATCTGATAGGACTTACCCAATCTATCCTGATGCCCTGCACACGAGTTTTTGGAAGACAATGAACAACACAACACGCTTCAGAGTAAGAGCTGGTCTTTTTAATGAGAGGACCAATCTTCATTTCCATGAAATGAGAAGGAATTACTGCAAACATCGCCGTTTCCCTCTTTGTCCCATCACCAAAAGTCTCTGCTCTACTTCTTTTTCCTGTGTGTCAGGCAGCAATATGAGCTCCTACAGTCTTCAGTATGCTCCTCCTTCTCTCTTTTAGTGCACATCCTGGAACAACACCTACCGCAGCACTTTTTTGACTGGCTTTTTCCTGTAGAAAAGAAAGAAAGAGGGTTAAGTCTGCATTTGTTGGCTCATCATGGTCTCTTGGAACAGAAAGTCCACCTCCACACAGAAAACAATCTCCATAAACATCCACCTCCAAACTGATATTTAGGAATGGACCCTGGTCAAGAAAATCTCTATGGAATATCCCTACCCACACCTGCTTTCCTGGAAAAGTCTTCTTTTTTTTGCCTTTATTCCTCTATGGTTCGTTCATTTACACTCATTTATACTCTACATCATTTGTTGCCTTACCTGGGGTGGCCATCAGGGCCATTAGAAAAACAACAAACACAACGTAGATGATCTTCATGCCTGGATAGCCACCAGGACCACAGCAGGTCTGGGATGCAGCCTTGCAGAGAGAGCCTGAATCTGTTTCTAGAAATAAGGCTGGAAATCCTGATATTTATACACATTCCTTGACAGAAAGGAGAGCGTTAAGGAGGAGCATGACTCTGCTGTTGTCCAAGGACATATTGTTTGCTACACAGTGGGCTATTATGTCACTCCAACCCAGTGGCCACCTGACAATGAGACACCCACTCTGCACCCATTTGTCACTGGTTCTGTGAAGTAGGGCTGTGCAGACTCCTTCAGAGCAGTGCTGGCACAGTCAGGCCCTGAGTGTGGGGCCACGGCTCGGCTGTGATGGAGAGTGTCAGAATGACAAGGATGAGAGTGCCATTCTGGAGAAGGACTGGTAGTCCATGGGCCAATGCCACCATATGCATTCTCAACAGTATGTCAAGACATAAATCCTCTACTTGGATCCAGAGTACTGTGGCAGTGGATAAGAAAGGTGTTAGAAAGCTGAAATAACTTTCCTGCAAAAGATCTCTGTATCTCTAATTTAGCTAACACTCCAACCACTCCCACTTCTTTACTGTCAAACAGTGCTTGGATCTTATATACTGAGTCCCTGCCCACGGCACAGAGTTGGAATGACATGATCTGTAAGTTTCCTTCCAACCCAAGCCATTCTATGATTCTATCTGAAAGTGAGATCACTAGTCTAAGCTAATCAGCTGTGGCTTAATTCACTTGCCTGAATGCAGATAGACAGGACCATTCCCCAGGTTTCTCCTACTCATCAATATGTCCAAGGGATATGGAAGCCACACTCTGCAGATAAATTAATCAGCAAGTCAGTCCTAGTTTCTTATTCTCCTAAACCCTCTGAATGTTGGATTTTAAATGTAGATGAGTAGAATGTAGCAAAGAAATAAGTGCAGAGATGATCAAAAGCAGCCCGTGCTTCTGTTGCTTACTTAGAATCTCCATCACTATAAAAGTGAAAAGAAGTCCTAGCATTTACATCTACATCAGCTTGTGATTTACATGTCACTTCATAGGGTGGCTTGGGTTGGAAGGGACCTTAAAGCCCATCCAGTCCCAACCCTTGCAATGGGCTGGGTGCCCCCACCAGCTCTGGCTGCCCAGGGCCCATCCATGGCCTTGGGCACCACCAGGGATGGGGCACCCACAGCTCTGGGCAGCAGTGCCAGGGCATCACCACCCTCTGAGTAAAGGATTTCTTCCTAACATCCAACCTAAATCTCTCCTCTTTTAGTTTAAAGCTATTCCCCCCTTCTCCTATTATTAATAGTAACAGGAGTGTAAATTGTCAATCCTCCTCCTGCTTATAAGCTCCCTTCTTTCTTCTTGCAGAGAAGCAAAGAAATAGCAGCCACAGCACCTCCACCCCAACAAGCAACTGAACCCGAGCAGTCACTGTAAGTTGTGTTCCCTGGCAGTGACTGAACCTTTCAAACCAAACAATGCTGGCACTGCCTTGTACCATTCCCTCCAGCACTGCCTGGGAGCAGGTTGGGTTTATCTGCCCTGGGGAGCAGGACTAACAGAAACATTTGCTACTCATTCTGAGTAGGATTGATTTTGAAATGAGTCCACTTGAATCTTGATGCTCTGGATGTCTACAGTCCTTTGACAGACGACAGACATCTGCTCAACACAGTCTGTGGAACTGGGAGAGTCAGTCATCTCACAGACCAGAAGGTTTTCATTTAGGAGAGTTAAACCACACACTGAGGTCTCTCCAAACCATTGGCTGACTGTTCCCAGTGACTGTGGCTGGGAATGTGTCATCATTTGGGTTGAGTTTGGAATACCCTTCTAACGCTCTGTATGGAATCACGGGGACACAAGCAACCACACCACACAAGCAGGGGTTACATCTTTTTGTTCTCTTTATTGAGAGGAGGGGATGACACGTGGGTCAGAGCATGGAGAAGCTGCTCCCAAAGCCACCGCGGTGCCTCCTCTCCCCCAGGGGCTCCTCCTCAGCCCTTATTTCCACTTAAAGCTGAGAGGCAGGCAGCAGTGCACCTTGCAGTCGGAGGAGCGGGCCCAGACCTCTCCCTTGGAGCACTTGCTGGAGCAGTAGCCGGTCTTCGGGCAGTACTTCAGGACCTGCCCATAGCCTGCGAGGGGAAGCACAGAGTGTTTGGCTCAAGGTGCTGCTTCCAGTGCCACCTCCAGGCACAGGCAATGCTCAGGGGGATGACTGCCCAAGCACAGAAGTTGGAAGGAAGCTTGAAGAACACAAGCTCAAGAAACTAAGTGCATCTCCCTCTCCCCACCGCTGGTGACTACAAGGCGAGCTGATGGTGCAGATGTGGATGAGAAGTGAGATCTGAAGGGGGTTCCTAAGGCCTAGCTAGAGAATCTTAGCCCAAAGTCACCTTTTGCCTTCTGTAGAAGGACCAAAGTCACAGAAAGAATCATTAACAACTATAGCTGTGCCACATCAGTAAATCAGATACGCCCAGGACTGCTCCTTGATACAGAAATCAATTTGAAGGAGTACTCTCTTGTACCATGAACCTCTCGTAGCTCCCAGCAGATTTATCCACATCTGTACACTTACTGAGAAATGGTCTGTCCTGGGCTCACTCCCAGACTGAATACTGAAGTTATTCTCACTCAAATCTGCCTGAGCTAGTCCTTATTTCACAGCCCCATTGCTGATGTACCTGAACTGGTGATAGCAATCAATCACCTCCCACGGTGATAGTATATTTTTGAGAGTTTAAATCACTTTAAACGAACGAATCCCAGTTTGTATCAGCTCATCTTGCCCCATTTGCCCTCTTACCTGGGGTGGCCAGGGAGACCAGCAGGAAGACGGAGAAGACGAGGTAGAGGAACCTCATGGCTGGAGGTGAGCTGGAGTCTGAGCGAGGCTGGAGAGAGAGGAGCTGCAGAGGTCTCAATGGGAAGAGGTGGTATGGAGTGAAGCTGTGGCTGCCAGTATTTATAGAGCGTTCCCCTGCCGAGCAGAGGATGCTAGGGAGGCGTGGGAATCCATCCAAGATTGTGCTGTTTGTGGCCGGACGCACAGCTGTGGAACGAGTACCAGAACTTCCCGCATACATCCAGGTGTGCTGGCAGCCTCCTCAGGTCCAGTTGCTCAATATCAGGCACCATTTCAATACACTGCCTCTGCAGAAAGCACGAGGGAATAGGGACTGTCAACAGCAGGACTGGTGGGATCGATGCGTCACAGAATCATAGAATCACAGAATGGCCTGGGTTGAAAAGGACCACGATGCTCATCCAGTTTCAAACCTCTGCTATGTGCAGGGTCGACAACCAGCAGACCAGGCTGCCCAGAGCCACATCCAGCCTGGCCTTGCATGCCTGCAGGGATGGGTCAGAGGGACCCGATGGACAGACATCTGTGGGAAGAATAGGATTGATATCACAGGGCTTGGGCCTTTCTCAGCCTCTGGCAGAGATGCAGCAGAGCTGAGCCATGGCCACAATGTACTGATAACTCTCCCTATTGTTTGGACGCATCACCATGAGAAGCTGGCTGCAGGACTTGCTGTGAGCAACCTTGGCTTGGGAAGGACCTGGGGCCTGTGTGTCCATCCCCAGTGTCACAGGAACCAACACAGCTCTACTTTAGCAAACCTCCATGTAACCCCTTCTGTTGCCCCTCACCCCACTGATGAGCACTAACCCCTTTATCCAGCACATGGGTGAGCTTGCTATTTGCAGACATTATATTCATTATCCCTGCCCCACAAACCAGTCAGTTCTCCAGTATTTTATGACTTAAAAGCTGGGTGGGATGTAATGGTAAAGCATGCATTTATTAGGAAATTACCCCCCAAAAAGCCCTCTTTCACTCTGAGCATATGAAACAATTAAAAAACTCATGAAATAAATGCAAACTCAAAAGTCAGTTATAAATCCTCCTTGAAGAAGTCCCCAGATTTCATGTTACTGCAGGCTGGAGAGTTTTATTGATTGAAAACACACATTCCTGCACTCTTTCCGTGCACTTGTCATAGAACTGTCGAACTGAGGAATTGTGTGAGTTGGAAGAGACCCTTCAAGGCCATCTGTCCCACTCCCTGCACTGAACAGGGACACCCACAGCTCCATCAGTGCTCAGAGCCCCATCCATCTTGGCCTTCATCTTTCTATTGGCTTCAGTCTTCTCTTACGGGCCCTATCTTCTTAATCTCCTGTCATTTTCTCAACAGCCTTCAGCTCTTATCCTGCTGAAATGAACTATGGTACATGGACTGGCTGGATGCCTTTTGCAAACTCAGCTCCTGTTTATCCTTGTGGGACAATTGGTTCTGTCCTCCCAGCACCATGACATTGCTCCTTTGTTTTGTTCCTGCCTATGACCCACTGCAATCTGATTTTTTTTTTTGCAGGCTCCTTGTTTTGCATTCTCCAGCTAATTGCTCTTGTTTGTACAAGAGAAGGTAGCTTTCCCTGTATTTGTTTTATTATTTCTTAAGCACAAAAAGATCCATGGGATTGCTAATTCTGTCCTTTAATGCTTTGAAGTCCCTTTCAACTTCTTATCTATGAATATATTCAGTAGATTCTATAGATGACCATAAAAATCCTTAGGCAATACAGTACTGGACTCACTACAGATTTCTGACCAGATACGGTGTGCGATTCCATTTTCTTAGCTTCATTTAGATATCTGCTTATCTCATTTAATCAGCCTTTTGGAAGACATTCAGACAAAATTACCTAAATATCTCTCAGGTTATTGTTGTGGAGCACCAGGTTGGGAAAGACCCCCGAGGAACCTCTTTGCCAACGCAGGGATGAATGCAACCTGAAAACAATTCTCTGTGATGGATGCGATCATAACATCACAGAATCATTACAGCTGGAAAAGATCTCCAAGTGCAACCCCAGCCCACCCCCACCATGCCCACTGACCACATCCCTCAGTGCCACAGTCCCACTTTGAACCCTAAAAGGGACGGTGACCCCCACCACCTCCCTGGGCAGCTGTGCCACTGCAGCACCTCTCTTTCTGAGAAGAAATGTTTCCTAATATCCACAGATCAGATGTCCCAGCCTTACAGAGCAGGGTGCTGGGTGCCCACAGGTGGATTTGGAGGAGGGGCATTGCACCCACACGTCCAGGTTGGGGCTGGGAGGTGAAGCCCACTGGAGCATGGCCCCAGGCGCCAGGCATCTTTGGCAGTGGGTGCAGCAGGTCGGGGTGACATTGCACACACCAGAAAGCAAACACTGCCTCTTTGGAGATGGCTTTGGTTGCGTTCCTCCTCCTGCCATGCTGCTCGTATCAGGAATCCCTCTATAAAACCCAGGGTCTCCAGAGCTGCCCACTGTGGCAGTGCCAGACCTGCTTTGCTCTGAGCGTGCTGAGATCTCCGCTCTCCTCCAGACATGAGACTGCTCTGCGTGCTCTTTGCTGTGCTCCTGCTCTTCTCCTTGGCCACCCCAGGTAAGCCAGCAATGCCATCCCCAGGCTCTGAGGATGCGGGTGGGTGCACAGCCTCCAGCAGAACCATCCCCAAATGCTTCCCTTGGGTCCCTGAGTTTTAGTGGCACGTAGTTATAAGGGTTATACTGGAAGCATCTCCTGATCTCCTCCTTTCCATACTATAGCATCAGCCCTTCCTTTCCCTTCTATCCTCTGACCACAGCACCCTGTGCCTCCTGTCTTTCCCCTTCAGTCTGCATTTGGGCAGAAGGTGGTGATGCTGGCACTGCAGCTCATCTCCCTGCTTCCCTCTGCTCCCTTCTGCTTCATAGAGCTGAATGCCCAGTGTCCAGCAGGGTCAACGGGGAAAGAAAGCACTCATCCTACCCTACATGAGCACAGTGTTACGAGCCAGCAAAGAGATAATTCCTGATTTTTGGGCTCTGCTCTCTCACGTGTTGTGTTATCTCCTGTCTCCATCTCTCCCACCGCAGGGTATGGGCAGCACAAGGGCACCTGCAAAGGGTACTGCGCCTCCGCATGCAACAAAAAGGATGAGTGGACGTTCCACCAGTCCTGCAAGAAGATGTACTGCTGCCTTCCCCCTCCCAAAAAGGGAAAATGATGGCCAGCGGGTCCAGCAGTGGAGCAGGAGCGGCTCTGGCAGAGGAGCTCCCAGCGCTGTGTTTGTTGAGTGACAGATGGTGGTTTTTTGCTTTGAAATAAATACGAGTTGATGTGATTTCTGTGTGCTGTGTGGTTCGTGCACCTCTGGGTAGGTGAACCAGGAGGGGCTCTGCAGCATCCCTGCGTAACACACCTCAGGTAGCTCCAGACCTGGGACTGCAAAATAACACACCGGGTGGGAAGAGGTTTTGGGAGCCCTGCTTTGAAGCAGAGCGTGGAGTAGTTGAATGGATTGCCTACTATTGCATTTTCCTCCATCACAATTTAGTTAGAGATGACACAACAGCCCCTAGGATCCCCTCAGTCCCATTCAGCCCTTGGCCCAAGGATCTCAGTCCCACCAAAGAGGTAGAGGCTGGGGTGAACAGCCATCTCTGCACCCCAAAAGTCCCACTGCCAGGCTGTCTCTAGAGCATCCTCACCCAGTGCAGGCACCCAGGTTTCACATCCTGCAACTGTCTCTGGCACGCAGCAAAGCAGGGACTCGTCAATGCAATCCATGACCAAGTGCCCATGGGCCATGACTGCATGTCCATGTCCATCACCAGAAGTCAAGTATGCTGTGACCCCTCAGGGATCACCAATAACAGAAGAAAAGTTGCACAGTTCTTCAGTGCCCCCCATCCCTACCTCTCCATCACACAATAAACCTGCTGCAGGTTCTGCATCCAGAGGAGCTTAAGAAGCAGTATCAGAGGGTGAGATGCTTTGTGCCAAAAAGGATCAACTCCTGACTGCCCTGTGGGACAGACAACAGTGCTGTCCAATCCTCCAGAAAGTAAAACGAGTTACCAGAAATGGGGCCCTTCATACAAAGCAAAAGGCTCCAGCACTGGTGCACGATGTGCCACTGTGAGCTGCTCCCATCCTGCTCACCTGGCAGCCAGTAAGGAGCAGTGGTTTGCCAAGCTTCCCCTGGCCCCAGACAACAGGTTCTGAAAACAAAGAAAGAGCTGTGTGCTGACATTGAGATGACACAGCCACGCAGGGCTGAAATGATCAAACATTAAAACATGCAAGAGGAAACCTCAAACCACAACAGCAATGAACCCTTCTCTGTTTCTTTGCCATTATTCCCCAAGAAAAATATAACATGAAGAAAGCAAAAAGCCCTGTGAAAATGAATGAGCTGCAAAATGGGTTTTTGAAGAAGCATCTCTTGCTCTGGTGAATCTCCAGCCTTCCAAATGCATTCTGCAGCCAAAGAAAGTTTCTGATACCAATGGCTGATTCCAAATTTCCATTGTTAGGAGAAAGAGAGCTCTCCCCATCATTACTGCCCTGCTGATGTTACTGATGTGTCCTCAGGAGAAAAAAAGTGAGGAGCAGAGACCAAGGGACACTGGATGCTTATTGCAACGTTTTGGCCTCCAAGGTGCTTTCTCTGTGGTGTGGGAGTGATGCTTGTCCACACTGTCTTCCCAAAAGGGCAACAAAATGCCCCTCTGCAAATAGCATCCAGGAGGTTCTCAAAGGATCCTTCTGGGGGTAAGCTAAGAGCTGATGGGAGCAAAAGATCAACCAGTCTCTCGAAAGGAAGGTCATTAATAAACATCTTAAATAGTAACCCACATTAGCATCACACATTGTACAGCATCATTTTGATGGTGCATTACTTGCTGTGTGCTTTGGGTTTGATGGTGTGTGGTAGGGCTGGGAGACATGACTCATTCTTGCTGGAGTTGGGATCTGATACAAAGATTTCAGAAACTATGCTCAGACCATGACTGGGAGTAGATTATGCCCAGAAGTGAATTAGTGTTCGCGTGGATGAAAGGCATGGCAGCCCAAATCAACACTGTGACTGCAATGCAATTGTAGGACACGGATGTTGAAGTATGAAGACCCCATTAAAATATCACAGAATAGAACCACAGAAATACCAAATTTGGGAAAGACCTCCAAGATCATCCAATCCAGCCATCCACCTACCACTAAACCATGTCCCTCAATACAACATCTCCATGATTCTTGAGCACCTCCAGGGATGATGACCCACCACCCCCCTGTGCAGCCCATTCCAATACCTGTCCATTCTTTCAGAGTGGGTTGAAAAGGAGCACAATGCTCATCCAGTTCCAACCCCCTGCTAGGTGCAGGGTCACCAACCAGCAGACCAGGCTGCCCAGAGCCACATCCAGCCTGGCCTTGAATGCCTCCAGGGATGGGGCATCCACAACCTCCTTGGGCAACCTGTTCCAGTGATATGCCCTCTTCATTTAAAATTTCAGCCATTACTAGATGGATATTTATGCCTTAGAAAGTCAGCACTGATAAATTACTGCTGCACAGTTTTTCTGTGTTTGCAGGGAGAAAAGTGCAGTTATGGGCTCAAGCCACACGGAAAGGCCACTATTTCTGTGCTTAATTGTGATAAGAGAGCTAGATAAAAAAGGGGGGGAGGGTGAAAAGAGGACAAAAGGGACAGCTAAAGGAGTTAAACCTTTGCAAATAGATTATTTGCAAGCACTGCGGGAACAATTTAAGGCCACTGTGTTGGAGATTCAGAGAGAATGTATGACACCTATTAAAATAAAAACCCCGAGAAAGAGCAGAAAGAAAAGGTCACAGTAAAACAGTGGGATGAGGGAGGTTGTTAGAAGGAAGAAGTTGAAATTGTGTCCAAATGCAAAAAACAGAAAAGGTAATAAATTGTGCCTGACAAAAGCAAAGAAGCCTCCCCACATAAGCATTTTATTTCAAACGTATCAGAGCAGGAAGCTTAGTGAAGAGATGAAGGGCAGGATATGGCTAGAAAAAGAAAAGCTATTCCATGGATGTTAAATGAGACATTATGGAGTCATAGGATGGTTTGAGTTCGAAGGGACCTTTAAAGGCCATCTGTCCCACTCCCTGCACTGAACAGGGACACCCACAGCTCCATCAGTGCTCAGAGCCCATCCAGCCTGACCTCGGCTGTCTGCAGGGATGGAGCATCACCCCCTCTATCTATGCAACCTGTGCCAGTGGCCCTTATGGAAAATAACTCCTTCTTTATACCCAGGCTGGCTCATAAACCTGCTGATGAACCCCAGCAGAGATAGATGAGAAGTGATGCACATCAAACTCATTTTGATATCCCTGTGCAAGGAGAAGGAAGTGTCTGAGGCACTGAGACTTCTACGTGCCACTCAAAGAGAGAAACGGGAGATCTGGGAGCCTTCAATCTCCTCCTCGTTGGGAGGTGAAAACTGGAAGAAGCCCTGAGGGGTCATTGCTTTGCTATGAGTACAGACTGCACTCAGCCTGACAGCTCCATGTCCCCGTGCTTTGGACTGAGATGCGATCCGTTCTTCTCCTGCTGCTCCCAGGGAGGAAAATTCCATGTTTTCAGCCCTTTTGTTATCAATTTTGTGCAAAACCAATGCTGAGACAGGATGTTAACGGGTCTTTGGGGTGTGCTCAGGGAACCACACTAATACTCTGCCTGGGGTCAACAACAAGCACCCACACCACACACACAGGAATCTTTTTGTTCTCTTTCTCTTTATTGAG